GGGGGGGGAGAAGTGAGAGTCAAAAAAAAACAGCCTACCCCGGATTCAAGCAAGAGAGCGAGCTCAGTTCTGGAGGACGAGGTTGTTGGAGTTGTCGAGAATCTGGAAGTTGGCGGGGCCGGAGACGACGTGCTTGTCGTCCTCGAGGGTGACGTCCTTGTCCTCGTTGACGACGAAAATGTACAGCTCGCCGTTGCCCTTCGCCTCCTGCGGGATCTCGCACTCCGCAGTGCGGACCCCACCGTCCTGTCCACCGACGACAACCTTGGTCCTCTTCTGCGACAGACCAAAGACGACCGAGCACTGCAGCTTCTCGATATCGCTCGGACGGAGCGTAGCCGTGAACGTGAGCGCGGCCATGTCGCCGACGTTCCCACTGGCAGCGCCGAGCGTGAGCAGCGGGAACGGTTGGACGGGGAGCTGGAACGGGCAGCTCTTGATGAACTGGCTCGCGATGGTGATGACGGGGCGGAAGCCGAGCGGGGTGTCGAACGGCCCGGGGGCGCCGTTGGCCATGCCCTGCTGGATGACGTTGAGGACGGCCGAGTGCCTCCCCTCGACGGTAGCGATGGCGCCAGCGGCGGTCTTGACCGCGTTGGCCATGACGAACTGCAGGGCGCCGTCGTACGCCGACACGCCTGTCTTCTCGAGCGCGGCCGCGATGTCGACGAACCCCTTGACGTCCTTGACGGTCGTGTCGAAGTTGTATTGGCAGGGAGGGACGGCCTTGCCATCGCCGAAGAGGGACTTAATGGTGGACTGGAGGGCGGTTACGTGCGTTTCTTCGTGGACTTTGACGACGGTTTCAAGCTGCTTGCGGACGCCGGGCTGGAAGCCGGCTTTTTGGAAGTCGTCGGCCGAGAACCGCTGCAGGCTTTGTCTGTTGGAGGGGAGGGGAGGGGATGTGGGAGCGAGGATTAGATAAGATCAACGTGAACCCCGTCTCAGTTCCACCCCGACTCGTCCATCTTCCACACGAAAGAAACCCCCCAAAAATTGAAACAAAACGTACTCATAGAACGTCGCCTCGAGGTGCTCCAACGTGAGAGCGTAGTTGAGCACGAACAGATCAGGGCTGTTGGACCCATCCGCCGCGGGCGCAGCTGCCGCCGCCGAGGAAGAAGAGCTGTTGTCACGACGCGCGAGGGGGAGCGCAACGACCGCGGACGACGCGGCAAATAACGCGAGAACAGACGCGGACTTCATGGTGGTGGTTGGCGGGGTTGGGTGGGTGGGGAAGATGTGACTGTGGATGCGAACGGAAGGGGACGGGAAGGACAGTTGGGGACGGATTGGAAGTGGGGAGGGGACTGCCGGGGGGCCGACCATCTATAGCAAAACCCTCGCAGGGGAAACATGCAGGTTACAAGGGGGCGCCCTGCTGCCGCATGGGTTTCGCGTTTCATGTTGTGTTGGTGGGTGGAGGGGCGTTCCTGCCGTCAAGGGTCCTCCGTGTTTCGTGTCGAATTGAGGGCACCCCTCCCCTCCTAAAGCTGGCGAGGTCAGTGGCGTCGGTGCGTCGCTGGATCCCCCTCCCGCTTTCAAGTTCTCACCATCGCCCAGGCTCCAACCAACCGATCAATTGAGTTTCATTCCGACCTGGAGCAGCTCCACACGATATCAAGACTCAGACTCACCGCTGCCCCCTTCGCCCCCTGGAAATTCCATATCCATCTGCTTTTAGCGTTTAACGTTTCTTCTACTGATCGTCAGTTTTGAGATTGGCCGCCGCCGCAGATTGAAGCAATTGCAGTGCTGAAAGAAGAGAGAATCATCTTCACGAAGTACGCCTGCAGTTTGAAGCCGCGGGCGCACCTGTATTTGGCCCAAATCTTCGTTCGTCACTCCCTTCAATCTTGACTTTCCAATGTCGTGCCACAACCCTAGCTCGAGTTGCTCAACGGCCGGGCCCCCTGGGCACGTTGAGAACTCGAAGACCGAGAAGAATCAAAGCGAGGACGTTTACATTGGGCCCAGGTCGCTTCTCTAGGGCGACCGACTCGATGTCCACGCCGTCGAGGGGGTAGTGAAAATACGAGTACAAAAAAAGAGGGCTTGAAGAGATGAATTCAGTTTCGCGAGTAAAAAAAATGAACGTTCGCTTCCAGGCCCGGTTATCAACCAGCGGTCCAGCGCAAGGCGTACATGATTGGAACCACTGCTTCGTCCGGTATTATTTGATACCTCCTCTAGCCGACCCGTTTGGTAGCTTCATCCTGGCCTGTTCACACAACAATCATTTTCGCGCACTCTAACAGTTCGCTTGCCACGTTTCATGTTCAGTTAGTTGATCGCAGGCCGCACGCACAGCCGCCGATCCGCACGTGTCTTCGACCTACATATTCGTTCGTCCGATCCTTCAAGTTTACTTATCAGGTCGTTCCACAACATCAACAGTCGTCGTCTTGGGCTCGTCGCGGGAAGGATTTGCAGTGCCAGGCAGCCCCCTCCAGGCCCACCTGGGGCCTCAGTGTCGCTTCATCAGGCCTGGAGGGTTACGGCCCACCGTCGACGAGATGTGAGGGTGGGGTTCTGAGAATGTGAGCAGGAAAGAAAGCGTTTGACGGGAAGAATTCAGTTTTCGGGCGGCGTTTCCTTGCACCGAACGGGCGACGGAGCGGAGTTACCCGACCCCGCGTTTGGCATGGCTCTGTTGCTCTCGAAGGCGAAGCCTTTCCACGATGAAAGCCGAATCTAGCGAGCGAACGACAAGGATCCTGAATCCGGAGGTTGGTCAGGACGTGGGATGCTGCGCCACGCTATGAAGAATTCATTTGAAACGCGACCGCGGCTGTCGCACAAGCTCTTGCGACCTGTCTTCAAAAATTCAAAATGCCAGGAGTTCAAACGAGCTCGCTTAGCTCAGTTGGTCAGAGCGTGGTGCGCCGGAAGCGCCAAGGTCACAGGTTTGATCCCTGTAGTGAGCATACCTCTGGCGATGTCTTGGGCACAGGAACACATCTCACTCTGCTGGTGAAATCCTGTCGAATCACTTTTCCCTTCCACCATATCTAACGCCACCCTTCTCGATGATCCGTCCCCACGACTGAGGGAGTCAAAGACTCCAGCACTGCTATCAAAGACTCCAGCTGGATTGATTGATTGATTCACACCCAGTGCTTCCGTCTGGCGTCTACTCCAGTCCACGCTTCACTTCTAGTTCGAAACTTCAATGTCAATGGTCCCCTTCCTGGCTTCCAACAGTCTTGGAAAATTTATCTTGTCTGCCCCCTCCCCCCGACGCCTGCTTCTGCAAAAAGTCAGAGGTTTTCCTCTGGAGAGTGAAGAGAAGAGGTAGGTGAGGTGTGAGGTCAAGGCGAAGAGGGTAAAAGGGTGTGCATAGATGGAAGAAGTTGGGGATCCTGGTGGAACCGTGAACTGAAAATGGGAGTTTAGGGGGCAGCTTGCCCTGCCCTCTAGCCCACGCGGATGGAGGGAAAACTCAAAAGATGAGCTGCTGAGAATAAGAGCAGTAATGACCCTTGGAAAGGAGAAGAAGGGGGGCAATGATCAGCAGATGGAGAAGGAGGGAGATTGAGAAGGTGTGAGTGAGAGAGTTCCTTGGGATGGGTGATGGGACAGGTGAGATAGGGCAGGGAGAGAGGAAGTAAGAAAATGCCTGGAACAAAGGCTATATTTCTAGCCCTGGCGGACCAGCGACATGTAGCGGTCAAGGACTGGATGGTCAGAAACTGAGTGCTGTGTCCAATCGTCCTTGTCGTGGCCTATTCCACCTTGGTGCCTTAGCCCCACCTGTTCCATCCAGGATCATTGTACATCACTTAATGCGCACACTCTCCCAGCTCGCTTGCACTTGGAGACTGACTCTCCCTCACAGTTTCATAACCTTCGAGCTCATTTTTGTCATGTGGATCTGGCAGGCCACGGCATGGACAGTTGGCAGAGTCCATCGCCAATCAAAGAGACATCCAGCCCAAGCACTTCAGACAAGTCAGCTTTACTGCAGTCCCTCATTTGGATACGCAATTGGTGCTGGTTAGCGGAGGTGTGTGCTTCTGAAGGTCATTACCAACGTCAGCAACTTATGTACGTCAGGAATTATACCATTCGATTCACTAGGAAGGCAGCGTGAGACTTTACGCTTGTCAACTGTGGGAAGATCGGGAGGGAATCGGATCGCGGAAACCAAGATGAAAGGAGAAGGTCAGAGGCTGTTCAGTTCAGAGGTTGTTTGAATGTACAAAGATGTTTGCCTTCCCCACCCTTCTCCAAGAGTTCCACGCCCAACCTTCTGTTGAGTGGTGGGCGGGCAACGAAAAGAAACGAAGGCAAGAAGGTGTTTGCAGCAACGAAGACAAGGAGACGTCATTGGTGTTCCTTGTGTTGCTTCGGGATCCGCCATTGTCAGGGGGGATGGGAAGGGTGATGATGATTTTGGACATTTGACGTTAGAAGCGCGCTTATCATTTTCATTTTCACGGAATGTACAAGAGTCTATGTAAACAACCACGTGTTTGTTTGTTTGAATCAATGAATAAATGAATCAACAAGCTCCGCTCGCACAGAGGGCAGAGTCAACGACTCCCAAGACAGACCCCGACGAGGTGGAGCACCTCCGCGGGAGCAAGAAAAAAGCAGTTCAAGCTTCTGACGTCGACGCGCTGAACGACCATCTTCGTCTCGCTCATCCTCCCCGCCATCCCCGCCTGGAGCTTGAAGACCTTCCGGCTCTCAAAACACTCTTGCCGCCCCCCCAACGCCTCCCGTCCATCTGCCCGAACCCCGCCAAACCTGCGACAAAGCCCGAGATCCTCCCTGCTCGCCATCTCGAAAAAAAGTCTGCGCTTCTTCACACCCCGCGACCTCACCAGCCTGCCTCGCTCCCGCAGAGCCTCCTGGACCTCTCTATCTCCCCGTCTGAAGGTCTGGTAAAACCTTCCTGCCCTGCTCAGACCCGGCAATGAGCGGGGACTGGCTTGGCGAGGACCCCCTCGACCTCTGGGGAAACTCCGTACAACCGCCTGCTCTTACCGCACAGGACCAGGACCCAGCCGGCCCCGACGAAGACAGCTCTCACAGCCACAAGCCCGGCGCCTGGGCTGACGCGGCCTTCGCGCAGGCATCGCTCTTCGGCCAGCAGGCCGCGACCTTTGAGCCCTATACCGAAACGGGCGACACCCGCACCGACGAGTCGAAGCCTGTGTCCGCTTCGGAAACAACCTGCAGTTCCCGCGGTGAGCTGGAAATGTCGACCGCGGAGCCCGCGAACCCCGGCGCCGCCCTGACGTCTGGTCCGGCCCCGAGCGCGAACGCGTCCCTCGCGCTGCTTGCGGACCATTCCCGCGAGTCGCGCTCCCGCACCGCCTCCACCATCGACGACCTTCTCGCTACCTCCCTCCCCTCGTCGCCGTTTACCCTCCCCCTGCCCCCTCTCGCCCCTGATGACCCTCCTATCAGCCAGGCGGAGCCACCCGCCGCGAATATACCCGCAAGTGCGGCAGGGTCCACTGGGTCTGATTCGACGCGACACTCTCCTGAGCCTCCAGGCTCCGAGTCCGAATCGACGCGTGCTTCTCACGACTCCGAGTCTGATTCGGCGCGTCACTCCTCGTCAGCGTCCGCTTCTGCCCTCCTTCTCGAGCCTCTGGCATCCTTCGCGCCTGATGAGGATGAGTCTTCGCATCAATCGGGGTTTCCCCAGAGCGAAGATTCCGAGGACGACGAGCAGCGAGTCCAGTCCGACGAAGGGGAGGCGGGGCGGGAGGATGAAGATGAGGACGACCACGAGGAGAATACCGAGGAAGGTCTTGAGGAGCTGGATAATGGCGATAGCGAGATAGATGTTGAAATGGGGGATGTGGAACCTATTGAAACAGGTTTGTTATCGGGGATGCGGCTGCCGGAGGCGGAGTTCTGGAGCCTTCCGGGGAAACTCGTTAGGCGCATAATTAATGTTGTAACCTCAACTAATGGCCGTTTGTCCCTTGCTTCTCCTTCATTCCTCTTTACCTTCCAGACGTCGCTACCCACAATCAGCCGCGGGGCCGGTTAGTTTTTGATCTTCCCTTTCCGTCTATGTTCGACTATCATATCGCGAGATTTCCGATATCCCCTTTCCATTCTCTAACTCTCTCTAATACTCGTTAGGATTGGAAGGTCAAATGCCCTCGACCGTTCTGTGGAGTTCGGAGATCTCTCTGATTACGATGACATCTGCTGCTCCGTTCTCCTCGATTCGATGTATCTTGGGTTCAGGACGCACAAGATGAGCAGCGAGGTCCAGCCAGAGGAAGGAACCTCCTCCCATCAGCCATCCGAGATCGCGCAATCAGCAGCGGATCCCGAGGCTGGCTCATCCAGCGCCGCGGCAGTTCTGCCCCCCCCTTCCTCTGTCCTCGCTGTCGCTGCTCGCCAGCGTCGAACTCCGGCGGCCTCCGTCGCCGTTTGGGTCGACGAGGACCATCGCGCAGCTATGGCGGCGGTCATCGTCTCCGTCATCCGTGAATGGATTCTGGATAAGAAAGCGGTCCGAATAGCTGCTGCCCGGATCGTTTCGTATATTACCCAAAACCCCGACCCGGATGATCCCGTAGGGTAAGTCGGAGCTACCTCTCTTTTCTTTCTCCTCTTTTCTTGAATCCGCTGATTTACTTACTGTTTTACTGTTTTAGGGAGGAGAACATGAAGCCCTTCGAAGGCTTCAAGGTTTTGTTCGACGGACGTGAGCCAGAAGATTTTGAGCACTTTACAGAGTAGGTCGAGGTTGCGCGAAGATTGCGCGGGACGGATTTCTCCACCTTTGTTCTCATCCATATCAACCACATCTACGATCGATCCTCGCTTCGCAGTCACGTATCCCGCTACCTATCGATGTACCACGTATCTGCAGGCTACGAAATCGCCCAAACGCAGCGCTACAAGTCTTCCGGGAAGGTCGAAGCCTGCCTCATTGCAACGATGGCGATGTCGCGCGGCGATCAGATTATTCACTGCATTGGGCTTATCGCTACCCTGACGAAGGAGGACGAGGAGTGCCTGGCCGGGAGAGACTTTAGCGTGATCTTCTCGACACGCAAGGAGTGCAACTGCTTAATGCTGGGACCTGCGCGATTCGTCAACCACGACTGTGATCCGAACTGCATGGTAGGGATCGCTATTAAGGCGAATTGTCTGTAGGGGTTCTTCGAGATCATTGCTCATTCGTATCCTTTCGCTCTCGTCCCCTCTAGTTCATGACTCTCGAAACGAAAGGTCGCACAACACTCACCTTCAAAGTGTTGCGTGATATCGCCCTCGGCGAGGAGATCACAACCTCCTACGGCGACTCGTACTTCGGCGAAGCAAACTGCGACTGCCTGTGCGAAACCTGCGAACGCACAAAACGCGGCGGCTTCCGCGACCCGAACGAGACCGCCGTCGCCGCGCTCCTCGACGACGGCTTCCACGAGAACCCGCTCCTGACAAAACTGCGCCCCTCGCGCACCCGCGCTGAAAACTTCTCCTACTACTGCGACCCGTACCATGACGCCGCGAACGCCAACGCGCGTGAGCAGGGGAAGATTTGTCTCGTTTGCGAGAAGCTTCTAGCTGACGGGGAGGAGGGCCCGCCTGGGGAGCTGGCGTTTGACGTCGCAGAGGAGGAAGCGACAGGGGCTTCGCTGGCTGCGGCTGCCTCTGTGGTGGCAAAGGACGCGAGGCCTCTGCGTCGGAAGAAGGTGGAGGATAATCTATGCTGTGCGCGCTGTGTGAGGCATTTCAAGATCTTTGGAGTTAAGTGGCCTTTGCGGAAAAAAAAGATTGCGAAGCCCAAGGCCCCGAAGGTGGGTTTTCATTCGGACGTGGTAGAGCGCAAGGAGTGAGAGAGTGTACTTGATCCTCCAGCTAAATCCTTCGCTCCTCTTCTAATGTTCACCAACATCCCGCTCTTCTTCCACTAGCGCGGCGATTCGGCCGGACCGGTAAGCTT